TAATAATACATATACAAATAAAAAAAGCCAAAATTATATCGAAAAGTGGCATATCTTTAGAGGGTGGAGGCATGGGTATAAGGTTTGTGATGAATGCAATCATCATTCACACCTATATTGCAAAACATGCAAAAAAGTAGCGGATGGAATGTATAAGCGATGTGAATGTGATAATATATATACTAATAAATAATATCGATATAGCATTAGATATAAATAAAATTTGATATGTGGTAAAACATGACCCTGACTTATGCATAATTCGTAACACATCAATCTGCAACTGATCGTTTCTCGGGGAACAGTTTTTATGTAACAATGTTGTACAATCCGATCACACTAAAAACGCGATTTTTCGATTTTTTTCAAAAAAAACAACACGTCTTTTTCTAATTTATGTGCAAGATTCAATACGCGATTTTTTATTTTCAATAAAAAAAACAACATGCTTCTTTCTAATTTATAAAAAGATCTGAAGGATAATTGTAACTTTGTAAATTTCTGTTTAACTGTTTTGCAATTCTGTATATATAACATCTAATGCACCATATCATGTCCATTGTTTCTGCTTATTCCATCCGAGAAAACTCATCTACCTGCTACGATATTCCATATGAAGAGTACTTCAAATTTTTTCCTTATGAAAAGTGGTCCCTTCAGCATTATGTTTCTTTGATCATCGATAATTATGAACATGCTGAAAGGGACAAGGCCCATCATGCATTTTATAGTACCTTGCTTAAGATTAATGACAATTCAAATGCATCGCAAGAAATTCGTGCTGTGATCCAAAAACTTATAGATAGAAAAAAGGTAAGTGTAGTATAGATAATAAATTGATATGGATGGGGTTTTTAGCCAGGTTCTTGTATCTTATTGGGTTCGTCCTGATAGGTGTAGGGTAATACTTACCCCTGCAAGTACTGATCAAATGCGTTTACTGGGTTCGTCCTGGTAGACATCATGAGATTTATTAACATAAGTTTTTGGTAAAGGTCTACTGATTCCGGAGGAGGAATCGGTTATGTATCTCCCTTTATGTGGGCTAGGTGCTGTAAAAAGAGACGAAATTGACAATTTTTTTAAAAGCAATTTTTTTACATAAGATTAGGATCATTTTCACGTATAGCTCTTTAAAGTTTGCATTTTCTTATGATTTATTATATTTATAACATAAAAGTTGATTTTTCAAAGATCTTTTTTTTTGTCAATTTCATTCCTTTTCTCAATTTCGTTCCTTTTCTCAATTTTGTTCCTTTTCTCAATTTTGTTCCTTTTCTCAATTTTGTTCCTTTTCTCAACACCTAGCCCATGTAATAAAAAATTTAACTGTTGGTATATTTCTGCATTTGTCCATCTTTATCCCATTTTGTCTGATTATGCTTATTGTGAAAATATTTTCTTATTTTGTTTTATTTTCATAAAGGCTGATAATAAGAAAGTAAATAGCTTATGGAATAAGGTAAAAAAAACATCATCAGCACTACCATCACCGTCGTCATCATCATTAGGAAAGAGACGAAATACTGAAGACATAACAGATTCTTTACTAGAGAAAAAACAATGTGTAATTCTGAAAATAAATTTCTTTTTTCCTAATGACGATATACCTTTGCAAGTCAATAATTCAATACATGTTCTTGAGGTGGTGAAGTCTGTTGTCCGAACTTTTGATAAGAGCACTATTGCACAAGGATCTTCCCGCTCTTACAAAAGTTCTAATCATTTGCAAGTAGATTCCAAGTACAATGTACATGTTCCCAGAAAGAGCATTTATGATGCAGAGATGTATCGAATCCTGCATAATTGGCTGGCAAAGATACATAGTTTTGATATCATCAGACAATAGCATCTCAAAAAAGTTTGTGAAGACGGTGGTTATTATCACCTTTATTGCGACCTTACTATTAAAAAAAGAGATGACCTCTCTCCTGTAGCAGTTCTTAAATTATTGGCAACAACATCTATATCAGAATTGAATGAGTATTTCAAACGGGTTTTTAATTATGCTGATCTACTAAAACCTACAGAAGTTTGGGTTATCCATTTTTCTCGGGAGGACGACATTGTCAAAAATCCATATTGGCCCTGTAGTAAACAACAGGAGAGAGGGCTTAATGTTATACATTTCTGCCATGACAAAGACTTTACAAATGTCCGGATGAGTGCCAGATCTCGAGATATCACTGGTAAATTCTACGAGATAATAGATGAGCAAATTCTTCTCTAATATATTTTATTTTTCTGATGCATCAATAAAGTGGCTCTGGTGGCCGATTTCTCACATATATAATTTGTATGTATATTTCGGGATTTTATTTTATTGTATTAAATATCGATGTATAACTTGTATATAATTGTGAATCTTTCTTGGCGAAAGTTATCGGCGTGAAGAATCTTCACGCGCACGTGATTTTTTCAACTCGATAATTTAAATAAATCTGACTTGTATAAAAAAATTATTATCAAACATGTCATCAGAGCTTGAATTATTAAAACAGCGAGTTGCCAAGCTTGAGGCTGAAAATACCAAATTAAAACAGATCATAGAAGAAATTGCTAATCTTAGGATCGAAAATACAAAATTAAAACAAATCATAAAACAAAATCGAACTACTAACAATGCTTCACAGTCTCCAGTTTCCCCGGCATTATCAGTAATTTCACAAATGCCTATTCCATCACCTATTAATACTCACTCTGATGAAGATAATAGTACCAATTCTGTAAACCTTGAGCAGGCACAAAGTGCTATTTCTCCCAAAATAAATTCTGACAATAATCCTGAAAAAGTAGAAAATACATCTGATGCATGTCAACCTACCTATATGGAACCTAAATTATTGGAAGAAAAAGAGATTAACGATTTCTTATATGAGAAAAATAAGGAAAATAATATGATAAGAGAAAGGAACCGGGAAAAGAAGATTCAAGCCCAAGTTTCACACAATGCTTCTTCGGTGCCAGCTGATTCTCCTTGCAATAAGATTTTGGATACTGAGGCAGAGGAAGAACCATGTGGTGATCTGGAAAAATGGTCCCAACCAAAACCATATGACACGAAAACCGTGACAAATTTGTCACGATCAGACAATGTATCTTCTGAAGTATCTGAATTAGAGCGAGATAATGAAAATGATGAGGTTGATGCCAGTCAAATCGTAGAACAAGGTCTAATGCAAGAATTGTCCCAGAATACCCCTGGCGTTGAAATTAATGAGTCATATATTCAAAAATTCGATAACTTGGTCCCAGGTTCGGCACAAAGTTTATTATATTTGTTTAATAAAGCGGTTATAAAGGGTCAAGAAGAAATTTTATGTTGGTATTATTATTCCCTTGAGTTTGAAAATAAAGTTAAAAGCCTTATAACCGATGGAAATATTAAGGATAAAACTGCAAGAACAAAATTATATAAGGAAATGAAACCTTTTCTCCCTCGCGTTACAGATTCAAATTTACGTAAAAAAACTCAGAGAGCTCGGAAAATTCTTAAACTGTTTGGAGAAGGAGGAGTAGGTATAGCTAAAATTAAACAGGTTACATATAGTGCATGTACTATTTCTGGATTAACTAATGCGCAAATTCAAAATATTATAGATCATATAAATTTAAAAACCGTGACAAATTTGTCACGATCAGAATATATATCACCGAAAATTAAGATAAGTGATCTAACTAAATCACTAATCTCTAATTCTTCCGATTCGAAAGTACCACCTATCTCTAAACCCAAGGAGGATTTACCGGAATCCAAGAAGACCTTATCTGAAAAACAAAATAATCCAGTTCACACCCATGCTAATTTCCACAACAAAACATTGGAGCAATATGCCATAGAACATGGTCTTGATCCCGAGAAATTTACGGTCATTACTGAGGCTGAGAAAAAAAGGTGGAGTATGGGATGCTTCCGAGAGGACTTGGAGAGGGATATACGGTTCTATCGTGGTGGAATAGAGAGGAAGGAAGATCCTAGAAAATATCGTAAATTTTTAACAGATCGGGATAGGATAATCGGAGAAGAGTTATTATGTCGCAGTATACTAAAAAGTGGTTTAAATACTGCATAGCTCGATAACCTTATGGAAGAATGAGAAAAAACTTATAATCAATTCGTACAAATTTTTAGCCAGTTCTAGCCAAAAAATAAATCACATTTTGCTGTTATATTACGATTTCGATCATGGAAATAAAAGTACGTTCATAAATTTTTGTTTCATAATACATCATGGCTATACCTCTATTTATATACATTTAAATCTCGACTAATTTTTCTACCCATTCACACGATCAGTTAAAAAAATGGCGAGCCCACGGGACCCCCCTCTTTATTTAATAAAACATTGTTGCCGAACATTATACAAATAAAATATATATTTATTATATAATAAAAAAT